CCCCCCCCCCCTCCCGGCCTTCCTCCACAGTTCTCCGCTGGGCCGCGGGACCCGCTCCCGAGCCCGGCTCCGGTAGGCCTCGCGGGAGCAGTCACCCAATTCCCAAGGCTCGCGGTTCGGTTGAGGCTCCCGGGACACGTGGCCCTGTCTTGGTTCTCAAACGACGCCTTCCACACACAGCAATCACCTGGAGCAGCGCAGCGAAGCGCGGGCATCCACAGACGTCAGGCTAATCAGAGTATGCCGCTCTTTCCCGCAGGCTGTGCAACTGCGGCCTGTCCCGGGCGGCGTCGCTCAGGGCAGTCTTGCCCTCAGCTCAATGGGTCCCCCCTGGACCACACCAGCTCTGCCCACCGGCCCCGGAAGGCAACAGCAAGGTTGGGCTGAGCTGAGGCAACACCCGAAAACGGCTGGGGCCTTAATCCCGGAGCCGCGAGCTTGCCAGCCCCACAGGAGCTCTTCCCTGAGGAAGCCCAGACTACGACGCCTGACTGGGTTTCCCACCCAACACGCGCCAGGTTTACATCCGCTGGGTGGGACTTCCGGCCGGACACCTGCACGCACGCGGAGCCCGCGCTCACTGCAGCAGGGGGCGGGTGACTAGCTAGTGGGGGGGGGGGCAGGTGGCCAGCGCGTGGTGATGAGCTGTAGATTAGAGAAATTCGAGGATAATCTAACCTTACCTTAGTATTTGGAACTTTCTTTCTAGGGAACGACCCTTTGCTCCCTCCTGACCTTGCCCGCCAAGCTTTTCTCGACTACATTGGCTATTCCATTGGCGGACCTCACCATAGTAAAGCAGCGTCACTGGATGAATTCCTAAACCATAATTTTTGGTTCTGGCCAAGTCAGCTTCTTAATGTGTAGACCCAAGAACCACGGCTCGAGTCTGAAATGTGGTCCAGGTGTAATGTTTCCTTCTTAACAGAGTCCATCAGATAGGACTGTGTAGGGAGATGGAGATGAAGGAGGGCGTCCATGCTGTGGGAGAGTTACTTTAGACAGCCAAGCAAGAACGACACACTAGTATCCAAGAAACTAAAAGCCCTATTAACCCCTCCCCTTTCATCAACTCTAACAGGTTCTCACACAGGGGATTTGCCTTTAATGACTATTACACTGCAGGCGTTTAAGGGCCTTAAGCTTCTGAGAGTCACATTAACACGTTCAGCTAGCCACACACAAGTCAGAAACACAGCCCTGCTTCCATTTCTGTATTTCTAGTTGGCTGCTATTCCTCTTCTTAAGGAATTTTCTTTCCCATCTAACATGATGGTTAATGCTATTATTCCAATTTGCTTATTCGTTAAAATGAAATTTATGGATGGGATGACCCTATGAAATTTCAACAAGTAGGTATAGTGGTAAAATCTTTAGTTATATATAATGAATGATTATAAGGAAATGGTTTTGTTTCCTGATAAAACTACAAATCCTGAAATGCTTCTTTTAAAATTCTATTTTAACAAATAATGATCTTAAAATGTCCCCAGCTGCCAGGCACGTTTAATCCCAGCACTCGGGAGGCAGAGACAGGCAGGCAGACCTCTCTGAGTCTAAGGCCAGCCTGGTCTACAGAGCGAGTTCCAGGACAGCCAGGGCTATTACACAGAGAAACCCTGTCTGGGGGAAAAAAATAATAAAATAAAAATGTCAACAGCTAAAATCCACATGTTAATTCATTAAGATCTTTTTTTTTTTACTTTTTCTAATGAAATAGATGTGTCTATGATACGTAAGTGAAAAACAACAAGCCAGTATTAATGAACTAACATACAAAGAGATAGCTTTTATTCTGTGGAAAAATGACTGCTTCCTCCCCAGCACCCCAAACAACAAGACTATATTACAAACGAGGAAAATGTTTATTAAGGAAACAATTTACTGCTCTCCTTTAACAGATTTTTACAAACTAAAGCACAATATGAAGACAATTACAGTTTAAATCATTAACAAGTGGTACTTATTCAATCATTAACATATTACATGTGTTACTTATTCTACAACTGGAAAGTTGCAGAAGTTTGTGACATGCCACTATAAATGTAAGTATTATTAAAAATTACAAACTGCTTGGTGATTACTTTGATAACTTCTTGAGCAGCAGCTCCTGTGGGAAAAAGGAGAAAAGTAAATCTTTAAAAATAATAAATTTTAAGAATTAAACAATAAAAGTCAGCCTGAGCCTGGTGGTGCATGCTTTTAATCCCAGCACTCAGGAAGCAGAGGGGGGGTTGGGATTCCATAAAGAAAGCAAAACTGTTTAAAAGTAATCCAAAACAAACATAGTCTACTGAGTCAGTCCTAGAACTCACAATATAGACCCAGGCTGACCTCAAACTCAGAGATCCAACTGCCTCTGACTCCCAAGTTCTGGGATTAAGGGTACGATATCATTCCCTGCAAAAAATACTATAATTCTTTATAACTATGTTATTAAAGGAATATAAGGCTCATTTTAGAAATTACTCAATGAGATACTGAGAAACAAATTTTAAAAATAAAGTATTTTTAATTATCATGGTTTGGAAAGCTGGCAAGATACAGTGAATGAACGAAGCAAAGTTTAAATAGTAGTTTGGTTGAAGGAACTTTTTGAAAGGATGCAAAGAAGAATAAAGATCCTCTTCAAAAGCCAGGCAATGGTGGCGCACACCTTTAATCCCTGCTCTTGGGAGGCAGAGGCAGGCAGATCTCTGTCTGGGTTTGAGGTCAGCCTGGTCTACAGAGCAAGTTCCAAGACAATCAGGGCTACACAGAGAAACCATTTCAAAAAAAAGTCAAAAACACACACACAAAGATCTTCTTCAAAGAAAGCCCTTTTACTGCACTCAAGGGTTGTGTTGCACACTTTATTAGTATTTCTGATTAATATACAAAGAAATGGGTTTCACTGGGGCATTTTCATACATACCTATTCCTATATTTTCTTCTTATTTGTCCCCACCTTGCCCTTCCTCATTTCCCCCTCTGGTTGGGCTTCCTCTAACCACTGCATTTGAATTCTACCTTTATCTATTCGGCTTTTATAGTAAAAAGGGATGAAAGCATATTTGTTCTAAATCAGTCAGTGTCTCTGTCTCTCAGTGTCTGCCTCTCTCTCTGTGATGTGTGCACACGTGTGTGTGTGTGTGTGTGTGTGTGATTTACTGAGGATCAAACCAGGGACTCAATGCTAGTCAAGCACTTTGCCACTGAGCCACATCCTCAGCTTTGAAATTCATTTGTAATTTAGAAATAATTAAAAACCACAGAGCTCCTATAAAGTACTCAAAACATACAAAAACAGCAAATTCCATCAAGAGAAGAAAGTCGTTTTCTTTTCTTAACTGAAGCAACTTCTTTCTAAAATGCTAAGGCTATGAGACTTAAGACTCTACTGTATACCAACTCACCTTTCAGGCACCATAGAGAAAGCAGAATACAAGAGACAAAAATATCTGCTGCCTGCTCATTTGGGTCTTTAGCAGCAAGAGAAAAGATAGCTTAAAATAAAATGTATAGTATGTACAATGACTAAGTGCTATGGTAAAAAAGAAAAAGAGTATAAGAGATGTGGCTCAAGTTCATATAGGGAAAGCCTCAAAGAATAGAGTTCAAAATCATTACAAAACATAAAAATAATGATCTTCTAACTGACCCTTGTTGGACCTCTCTGATTATGTTTCTTAGAATCTGGCCTAGATCTAAGCAAATAATACTTTGCCCCTTTCTGTGCATTTTTCAGATTACTATTTAGACATGAAAGAATGATTTTATTTAAATAGATTATCAGGAATCAGGCTTTAATTTCTGTTTGCTTAAAATATGGTTTTCTTAGGTATGCATTATTAGCATTCTGAACACTATTAATCAAACTGGATCTACCTGCAAAATAATCATCTGGAAAGGAAAATACCATAAGCAAATAGCTCAGGTTATTGGCAGTAATAGACAGGAGAATAATTTTTTAAGGTATTATTCACTTACTGTTCGCGTTCCCCTCCCCCTCTCATTAATATGTTGAAAACTCTCAATGCAACAGAATTAGAAGGTGGGGCTTCTGGAAAGTGATTAGACCATGAGGGTGGAGCCCTCACAAATGGGTTTATGCTCTTATAAAGGAGATCCTGCAGGTTTCTTTGGACATCTTTAAAAACATAATATGTGAGGAGGACAAAGAAAAAACACCATAGATGATTCTTGCAGTGAGCTCTCACAGATCCTAACTATGTTGGCATCCTCATTTTGATCTTTGTAAACTATAAGAAATAAATTTCTGATGTTTATAAGGTACCCATACAATAACTAACTTAACTGACAGGAAGAAATGGTGAGAACAAAGAGATAAAAGGCATTTATGAGAGAAATGGCAGTTTTGAACTGGACTCTGATGTACAAAGACCTCATGTCTCAGGGAAAAGAAGGTACATACACAGGACCTTTAAGTCAAGTTAGTCTTTGTTTTTGAGAACTGTTGGGGCAGGAAGACAAAACAGGAAGAAGAGGAAGCAAGGTCTGAGTGTGTACTCGTGATTAGAAAGTTCAGTGCGGTTCATGATCAAAAGCATCCTTCCAAGGACTAGTGACTGTTCAGGAGTTTAATATGGATGGCCGTGGGAAAAGCAGAGGGTAGGAGAATGGTGTGGAGAGCAAATGATTAACCTAAACCTAACAGTCTGCTTCACTGACCTCACTAATTAAAATAGCCAAGAAAACAAAGAGTTAATAGAAATAACTGTATTCTATAACAACAAATAAGTCATTTCATCTAAAAAACTCACCTCCCAGGAACGCAGCAATGGTGTGTGGCTCAGCAGCTCCATATCGGCAACTACAGGAAAAGAGGGAAGTTTGAATTTTTATTAGTCTAACCACAAACAGGGAGACTATTACCTCTATATCCTCTAAAGAATACTCACAATTCATGGACGTAATCATCTTTCACCATTACAGATAACCCATATTCCTGAAGGAAGCCAGTAAGACAGGACTTCAATTTGCCTATATCTTCTTCGACTTGATAGTTAGATACTCCTAAAAAAGTATATATATATATATTATATATACATATACATTTTAATTAAAATAAATGAGTGAGCTGGGTGTAGTAGCACACACCTTTAATCCCAGCACTGAGGAGGCAGAAACGGGCAGATCTCTATGAGTTTGTGAATACCCTGGTTTACATAATGAGTGCCAGGATGGCCAGAGCTGCATAGAGACCCTGTCTCAGGAGGAAAAAAAGTGATTCAAATTAATGGCTATCTTCTTTACTTAATCCAGTTTCAGGCGGTCTAATCAA